TGATCTAACTCTGATGTTCCAAGAGCAATTTCTCAGATATAATTATGATGAGCATGGTTTGACTGTGTCAGGGATAACCATAATAATTTAGCAAAGCCTTACTGGACCCCCAGAGGAAGAATATTTTTAACATCTTTGAAATTCCAGCTTTCCTAATGTTTTCAGCCTGTGGCCCTAACTCTTTTCTCAGTAGCACCTCTTCACTTCTTGACAGGCACCAGAGATTTACCAAATTTGAAAACATAGAGGTCCCAGCCCCCTGCAGCCCATGTCTCATCTGTGCACATTTCTGTCTTTTGACCCACAGCTAGCTCTACTATCTCATGGTCCATCTTTCTTCCTCTTTCCTTTTTCCTTAAACAAATATTTATTAAGCACCAGCTATGTTTCAAAATTGTTGTAGATACAAGGGATGCAACATTAACCAAGACAGACAATGTTCCTCTCCTCATGGAGCTTACAGTCCACTGGAAGACAAGGTGGAGATTTACAATAGACCCCAAGGAGCTCCAATGCTACCAAGTTGCTGATGATTGAGAAGACCAGAGCTGCATGTCCCTCCTACTGCTCCTCATGGGGGCAGTGTACTTGACCTCCTATCCTAGCTCATGCAGATGCTGAAGCAGAATCTGAAGCAGGATCAGGCAGCTGGTAGGCACAGCCTCTCCAGCCCAGCTACCAGGATCAAGGGTTCTTAAAACTCTCAACACTTCTCACAGAGCTCAGGTCTATGCACTTTAATTTGTGGGAAGCTGCTGGGAGCAGAATTATTTCAGAGATAGGCTTTGTGGGTTTTATGTGGGAGTCAGGTGGCCCTCCCTTTGCCTAGTAAAGCCCTTTGCCACAAAAGTTGGAAGCATGTACAAGAGATGAGGAAGAAAAGGGACTCCAGGCAAAAGCAGCAGCATTCATGTGCCAAGGCACAGAGCAAGAGACAAACCCGGAAGTGTGGGAGAGGGAAAGAAAAGTTGTTAGTAATTACTGTTCTTAAACATTGAGAAAAGTATGTCGTGCATAAGAAGTTAAATGTATACAGAAACACAACATTACATCACAAACAAGAAAATAGAGTACATGATTGATTCATAAATGAGCAGGGCAAGTACAAGCAAAGGAAGGGCTGTGAAGTTAGTTCAGGAGAGTTGGCCAACTTGGCCTTGAAAAAATCAGATCTGCAGAACTGAGATAGGTTAATGGAATGTGACTCTTAAAGCACTTCAGCAGCATCTACTTGTGGGAGGCACTGGAGGGGAAATAGAGACAGCCGAGTTCTTCCTAGTTGTGCCATTCATGGTGAAGACTTGCTTTGGGTTCTCTAGAAGCAGAGCCTGATTCTATAGGGCAGGAGTGAAGCAGAAGGAGTTAGGTAGGGGAGGAAGAGCCAATAGCAGGATGATTATTAATCTAGCTTCCTCTAAATATGGCTGATTGCTTCTGCTCAAGAGATTATCCTCTGAGAAGCCATATAAAATGTCTCAGTATAGCATATGGGAAGAGGGAGGGAAGGAAATTTATCCATCATTTCGTCTCTCGTTGGATTAAGATTCACACCAGTTGTTCATGCTTAGATGCCAAGTGAGTTTCTTGATGTCTCACAACCTGGCAGGGTCATGAGGCAAAGTGCTATCAGGGTGCAGCTGTGTAGACTCAGATGGAGCCACAGAGAACTGGATGCCACAGCAACTGCTGGAACAGAGGTGGCCGACGCGACAACGCTCTGAAGGTCTGTTATGGGAGACATGCCAGTGATACTCAAATTTCTGTACCACAGTCTGTCTTCATTTCCAAAGGGGCCAGAAGAGTAATCCTTAGGAGTTCTGAAAGAAGTCACAGAAGGGCTTCTAGAACCTTCTGATAGTAACTCCACAAATGTGCATTGCATCCCACTTAACCATGTTCTGTCTTGCTTCTCTGCCTCCAGTCACTTATGTATTTCCTCTATTAGACTTTGAGCTTCTTTATTATTTTTTTGTATGTGGCAAAAATAAAACCCATTTTCTTAGGTTCATAGCAAAACCTAGTTCTCAGTAATCAGATAGACTCATGTGACTGAGTTCTGGATAATGGAGTCCAGACTATAGATATACCCTCCAAACTTTCATCGTTTCCATATATGCTGGCCACATACAAAAATATTCAGTAGAGGCCAGTAGATGGCATGGTGGTTAAGGCACTGGACTCCCATATGGTCAACTGCGGTTTGAGTCCCGGATCTGGTGACTTGCTTTCTCACTTGCTCTCTCTCTCTCTCTGGTCAAACTAAAAGATAAGAAAATAAAATAATTCTAAAATAAAATATTCAGTGGAGTACTCAGACACCCCAGAAAATGCCAATGTCATGAGCCGGACTGACTACACACAATAGAATTCTGGTGCTTACTCATACTGGACTGTGCTCTGAGTGAGAAATAAACTGTCACTGTGTCAAGTCACTGAAATGTGAAGGTTAGTTGTTACAGCTGTTAGCACACCCTGGCTAATATAGTACTTCTCTAATTTCATTTGACTCTATGTCCCTCCAGGACAGGGACTGTGTTTGTAACTCACGCGCTGGTGTAGTGCCTGGCACATAGTAGGAGTTGCTCAAAATATGAATGATGTGAACAAGGTGATACCTGAGTCTCATCTTAAAGGATCAGAGGTAGAATGTCAGGTAAGGTGGCAGGTAAAAGAAGGTGTTTTGTGAAGGAGTCATAGCACAGATAGACGAGAGACCATGTCGGTTCCTAGCACTGCAAAAGGTTTATTATTATGAGAGGGAGATGGTCAGGATGAGGCTAGAGAGAAAAAGGGCAGATCACAAAAGGTCTTATATATTATTACATGAAAGAGTATAAAATTTATACTATAGAAGTCACTCAAGGAGTTTAAACAAGGATGTGATATTTATTTTTAAGTTTATGTTTATGAAAGTTTTTGTTTTAAAAAGCTCTCTCTAGGGGCTGGCAGGTGGTGTGGTGCTTAAGGCACTGGACTCCCACATGGCTGACTTTGGTTCAAGTCCTGCACCTGACAGTTTGCTTTCTCACTCTCCCTGCTGTTCTTTCTCTCTTTCTGTCTTTCTCTGGTCAAATTGGATAATAATGATAAATAAAATTAAATATATAAGTATTAAAAAATTTCTCTAGCCACCTAGAAAAAGGGTAAATAAGAAAGGAAGAGGCAAAAATAGAAGTTTTAAAAACAGTTTATTCCTGGGACCAGGAGGTGGCATAATGGTTAAGGCACTGGACTCTCATGTGATCGATTGCAGTCCCAGACATGGCAGTTATGCAAATCATGCCAAGCACGTGTGTGTATGCATGCCCAAAATCCCAAGAGGAAAAGGGATTGCGGCATTGCT